AAATTCTATTTGTCAGCAAATAGTGGATCTAAAGTCTGAAAAATAAGTATTTTTTATTTAAATAAGCGTATGTTTTTTTAATAAAAAGATAATAAAAATTTGGAGAATGTCTCCAAAAATGGTATGCGACGAAGGTGCATCACAGAAGCACTCGAATTCTTTAGCATATTTGTCTCCTAACTCAATTTTCATGAATTGAACTTGGCTCTTGACATTGTTGTCATGCTAACTGTGCAACACTGATATGCACATATTTTATACACTTTTTAGGCCTTTTTTGAATGAGTTTTGAATCCCAATTAAATTTAATGTTTATATATTATTTCAATTTTCTGTTTTATTTTGGAGAGCAGTCATGTGCTTGATTTTATATGTTTTGCAGGTATTTTGAGGCCATTTGGACGCATTGATAATAAATGCAAGAACAGAGAATAAACATGCAAATTTGGGACAAAAAGAAATGGAAGAAATTTGAAGAAAAGAAGGAATTAAGAAAAGAGAAAAAAAAACCCCATTAGGTTTTGAACACTAGACTTCAGGTAGTTGATTAGAAGCTCTACCTATCGCGCCAAGTGATGTTGTTCATCACATGAATGGCGGTTACGGTTTATTATCTGTATCAAATTCGGCCCATGAATTGAGAGAAAAAAATGACAAAACAATGAACGGTGGGAAACTTTGAACACGGGCCACACGGCAACACAACCAACTGCATTTCCATGTGTGCTACTGTAGCTGTATTGACCTGAAGTGTAACTGTTTTTATATACTCCGTATATACTAATTTATCTATAAAATCTCATCTCCTCTCTTCTCCTGAGAGGTTGGAACCCCCATTTTCTCCCTTCTCCCTAATCCGAAATTCTCCTCCACCATCACTAATATCTCACCACTTTCTTCATCCAAACACATAAAAATTACTCCATCTTCATCATCATCTATCATATTTGGAGCTCAAGAACACATCTTCCATTTTGTAAGATTTTTATGTTTGTAATAAATATTTATTTGTTTAAGCTTCAAACTATAAACTTCTAAATTCCATTGGGGTTAGAAGTTGGTGTAATTAATTGTCCATCTTAATGTTAAAAAAATCAACTTGGCGCCGTTGCCGGGGAGACGGTTTGAGTTTTTTTTCTAAACATAAGTTTTATTGTTTATTTGTTGTAAATATTGTTTTGTTTTCCCTAACCTCTTCCTGCAGGTACCAAAAAAACAAAACAAAAACAGAACAAAAAAACACAAAAAAAAAACCAAAAAAAACCTCAACAAAAACAAACTAAAAAAAACTAAAAAAGAAAAATTTCCTTTGAGTCCCTTTACTCTTGAACACTTATTGGACTTGGACATATTGACTTGGACATATTATACATACCTGAACATATTGAACTATCCCACAGGTCGGATTTTCCGCCAACGGTGATTTGACATTTTTTTTCTTTCTTTATTTGGCCTGCTGACCGGAAAAGCCGTCACAGGGTTTGTACATTTAATTACTGCACTTTACATTTCTGCATTTTTTCTTTCTTTCTTTCTAGGCGTGCAAAGCCGCTATTGGACATTATATCTATATACTATATATTATATATTATATCTACTAGATATACATATACATATACATATACATATATATGAGATGGCTGG